ATACGTATTCCCGCAGTTTCCCAGGATTTATAATAGCCTAAATTTTTGTTTAATATCATCTCTTATGTGCTTCACTTTCCAAAATATATTGGTAGGGCTCAAGTTATTCTAGCATACCAAAACCATTCCTGTCATGCAATGCCATAACACTTAACCCTATTCCTGGCGGGGGGGGGGGCCTCAGGAGCCCCCCCCCCTGAGGTTTTTTGGTTATTTCTCCCAAACGCGTTGAGCTAGGAAGCTCAAATTTTCTGACTTTTCCTAAAAGGCTTCTACGCAACATGTCTGAAAATTTTGAGTTGATCTGACCTCAGGTCAGGTCACCAGAGGCGGTTTGGTGACCCTACCTCAGAAAAGTTTGCAATCACACCAGAGCTAGAGTTTTTGACCGATCAATTTCTTCTCTTCAGGCTTTAGTTAGGGTACCAGTATGTGCAATTTGTATATCTCGGAATTTTGATATCGGTGACCTAAGGTCAGGTCAGTTTCGCGACCTCCCCATTATAAGTCAATGGGGGAAAAATCAACTCCCTGTTTTTACCACTAAAACGGGTCGGAATGGCCCCATATACCATACATGACTTCATATACGATCAACCTTCACTACCTTGAGGTCTGTTTTGCTGTTGGGCAGCTGTGAGGTCATGTGACGTCATCAAAGGTCACCAAAGGTTTTTGGCCAATAACTCCGTACAGGAACAAGATACAGACGCGTGGATGGTCTCATTGTGTTCAGCTCGTCAAGACGCATCGAATGATATACATGATGACCTCGAGGTCACGTGACCTGAGGTCAACCTTTGACCTTGACCTTTCGAGGTCAACATATATATCATTCGATGCGGATTGACAAGAGGATCACGATGATGCCCTTAGTTTGTTCCTATCTTGACTAATTCGAAAGTTATTCGAGAAAAACTCTCTCCATATCTAGCGCCGTCATTTTGACTTTTTCGACCCTTGTGACGTCATCTTTGACCTGACCTGAAAATGACCTTAGTAAAAATTGTAGAACTTGTCCATGCGTATCCGATGCCGTTTACCGCTTGTCGCTATCTTGCTTCGTTCTCGAGATCTCAGGGGGGGGGGCCGAATCGGCCCCCCCCCCCGCCAGGTTCTTGTCCCGGCGGAGCCCGCCAGGAATAGGGTTAAGCTCAAATACATGAATAATTGGTGGGGCTTGGCCGGGTCCTTACAGGCCTGTTTAAAACGACACCTATGATCAAGTTCAAGAACTGCACATAAGTTATAAATATAGAGCATTTTCAGTCCTGTCAGCAATCAATCCTTTGAAGTTGAGAAGTTTGATGTAATTAAATTGTTTCTCCTAAAGTTTGTGGTGCCCGTCGCCCGGCAAACTACGGGAGCGGTAGCAGTTCGCGCGCTGCTCGCTAGATGTCTCTAGTTGTGCCAGCCTGCGGAGGTAGACTGTACCGGAGGGCGCGGGTAGGCTGTGCCGGAGGGCGCGTCGGCGGGCGAACGGGTTCGCCCGGCGCTGAAATGAAGCTCTGCAAACTTGATGTGTAATGTGTATCTTACCTATTTCTATAGCAATAGCATGTGTTTCTTTGAGAACGAACGCTGGTGCAGTGCTGGTACAGCCGGTTAAAAGTTTCCGCTGGGGGCTATCGATATGGGGCTATATGACAGGCGCGGGTACATACTAGCGAAGATGTCTGCGCTGTCAGGCATTTATAGAATTGTTGGTAGCATGCCGGTATTCGATTTTTGAGGAGCTGTAGTAATTCACGGTACCTACTAAGTAGGTATATCTACTAGCTCTAGCTAGAGAACTTGATGATTTTGGTGCAACAGTTCCCTTTTACACACAATGAATACGGATATGTTGCTAGGTGGTGGCATAGCATTTGATAAGGCGCTAACCTCAGTGTTGAAAGTGGAGGTGCAGTGCAAGGTCCGCGCACGAGAAAGTCCCTCTATAGCTAATTCTGGCTACAATGCCTCGTAGTAGAAAGGAGGTGCTAAGAGCAAATTGTCATCTTTACCACCTCCGCCTCCCTTCCTCCGTCCCTCCCTCCCTCTTCTCTCTCTCTCTCTCTCTCTCTCTCTCTCTCTCTCTCTTTTTTTTTTTCTCTCTCTCTCTCTCTCTCTCTCTCTCTCTCTCTCTCTCTCTCGCGACTCCCTTTGACCAGTAACCTCAGCGGGTGGGGTATCCCTCGGTTGAGGACCCCTGTTGTTAAAGTCCCTCTAGGTCGAAGACCCCGAAGGATAAGGCCTATCCCCTTGTAGAGCCGCAAAACACAGACCTTTATTTGATAACACCGGCCGCCAGTAATCACCAACAGATTAATTACACTGTAGCAGGTGTTACTAATTTAAACGCAGGTGACGTGAACTGCCTCATATTCCCTTCTGCTGTGAACAGATCATTATGTATGACGTGCAGGGATTTATGACGACAAATGTTGTGTTCCGATATAAGGCTGTTTGTATGGGCAGCCACTTAATGTTTTGAACTTTTAGTGGTTCATACCTGCTAAAAATACAAGCAATTTGGCAGCAATTATATCATACTTAAAAACTTAGAGTATTTTGGAAGGAAGCTGTTTTGTTCATTCACTCAATTTTTTACACATTTCGCTCACTAGTTAATTTTAAGCATTGATTTTAGCACAAAATGTACTTACATTCAAACATAGCTGCCACAAGCTAACAGCTTCCCGAAAGCCCTGGATATGCTTGAGATATCATAGGTCAGCACCTACATATATAAGCGTAGCGCAATATTCATGCTTATTTTCAGCACTCCAATGATCATTTGTAATTGTCTAAACATCAGACAGTCCGGGGCAATACAAATACCGCGGCAATAAGCAATTTGCTGATATTCCGCCGGCATTCGGCGCCGACTCTGAGCATGGCAACACACTGCCGCGCTGGTCATTGTGATGATAATGATGGCATGAATGGCCGAGTGGAAACGTCAATACGAATAGCAAGTCGGCGTCTGATGACGTGCGCATATACCACATTATGACAATTTTGTAAGCGAATGAACACGAAGGAATTGGTACTGGGAAGTTCGATACAGCTCAGGATGCAATTCAGGGAAGATGCCGAGTGAGAAACTGGCCGCCGCGATTTCGGCGTTGAGCGCTGACAAAGTAGTTGAGGGAGGTGGCTGTGTGATGGCTCCATTGACATGGAAATATCCTGAGTAGGACCGTGGTCAACAGAATACTTTGTCACACCAGCTGGGTGAAAGATGAGGAATGGAAGGATGTATTCCTGCAACCTGCAAAGTTGTTACGCTCATAATATTGTTGTATACGATTGTTGAGCTTAACAAGTAATTATCAGCATCATTATGCTGTTTCGTTCAAAAGCTGTTATTATTGTCACTCAATACTCGATACTTTTGGGCTGTTGATACTCTTCCAAAAGTTCACACACTTTGGATGTTACATACCTTGGATATTACATGAATTGTCACATTGTCTGCCACTGAAACTCTTTATTCGCGTCTCATCTTATGGAAATTGCCGGCCGCCGGACGGGGTCAGTGGTGCGCGGTCAGTCCCACAAATGCGTCAGACGTCTGTCTCAGGCTGGTTGGTGAACACGTCTGTCTGTCCACTGGCCGGCCTCTGTGGCAGTGGTGGCCAGCCTCTCCCGCTCAGAGCCCTCACATTCCGACACAGAAATCACGAGTTAAAAGCTCGTTTCGCTGAGATATATCCCCGATGAATAGTGGTCGCTCGAGTATGAATAATATCGAGTTCGGCTGTGTCGAGCTGCTGAATCGATTCTCAGCCAGGCGACGTATGATTGGCTCGCCGCGTCGTCCAAGCAACTTGAGGCCCCGGCCCCGCCCGACCTTTGGCCCAGACCCGTCCCCATCCGGCGTTAGACCCAGCCCCGACCCCGACCCCGCCCGGTCCCGTCCCCCGCCCAGACCCTAGTCCAGTCCCCAGTCCAGTCGTCCCGCCCGGCTGCGGCCCAGCCCCAGTCCCTCCAAGGTCCCTCCGCAGCCATACCGTTAGTATGAGCCCAGCGACCATTCCAGTACCAACTCTAGTCGCAGTAGCAACGCACCTAAGGACCAGTCCCGAACCCAGCCCCAGATCCAGTCCCAGACCTAGTCCCAAATCCAGATCCGCTCTTGTCTAGGCGTGGTTCCTGCATTGGGCACAACCCTCCGTCTTACAATGGTGAATGATCAAAATTGTCAGTTGAGCTTTTGCGTTATAACTGTGAAGTTTTCTATGATGGGGCAATAAAATAAATTGACAAAATTATAGCCAACAGGACACCACCAATAGTTAATAATGATTCATGATAAGGTTGGAAGGACAGGGTTGATTGATGATTGATAATGGTATATTTAATGAGCCTGTTTATCAACATTTAAGGTGAGGTACAGAGCATTTACAAACGAGCGAATGCTGCGAACGATACGTGGTTGTTGCATTTATAATAAGCAGAAATGCTAGTTACAGACAAACTATGTATTACATATTTCGCGAAATGTGTTTTTTCAGCGAAAATAGTTTAGGTTCTCCTTCGATATTAAAAGTTGAGCGAGCTCAAACTGCCCGTTTAAAGCATATCGAGTAAATTACCCTAGCCTTTGGGCTCTCATGAAGAGTTGTAAGTGATTTTGACATGCGGGCACTGACAAAGCGTAAAATTATGTAATTCCTACATTTGAAGCTATAAAACAGAAACAGTGCATGGAATAGGTAAATAAATGACCTTTTAAGTTGTTTTAATACGCTATACACAGCTCAAGCAGTCTGTTTATTCATATATGATTCAAAATTGCCTTTTGATGACGCATCAAGAAATGCGTGGAAATCAATGGCCTTTCTATTGTCAGCTTGGTAGGGTTCTTAGAGCCCAGCGTTACAACAGCACAGTGGGAGCTGCTGAGCCGACTGAAGGGCGGCGGCATCACGGCTGGGAGCAGCCGACCCGCCGCGCCGGTGGATGCCGCGGCTGGGAGCGGCCTATCCGCCGGTGGCTGCCGCGCCACTTACCGCAGTGGCGGAGGTCGATCGGACACGGCCGGCGGCTGGTGGCGGTGGGCGGCGGCGGTCACCTCTGCGGCGCTGGGTCGCTCCCCGGGCGGCGGCGGCGGTGGCGGTGCTCTGGGCGGCACGGGCGGCTGCCGGGGCGGCTGTCGGTCTGTCTCCGGTCAGTGATGGCTCCTGAGGCGGCGCGGCGCGCCAGAGGCGGCTCCCTGTCGGCCGTCGCGAGCGGACTAGTGCGCTCGATACGAGGCGGCGCCGGCGGCCGGCTGCGCGCGCTGCCTCCTCCGTCCGGCCCGGGATCGATCCTTGAGTCGTCAGCAGCGCGCTCCGCCGCCGCCGCCGCCGCCGCCGCCGCCGCCGCCCACCGGCCGACGGTGACGGGGTCGGACCCCCCAGACCCCCACCCCCCGATCTGACGGCAGCCGTCAGTGTTCCCCCTCGATGACCGGAGCCCAGGGCCGCCTGACCCGGCGCGGCGGTCCGAACGGCCGGCCCGACACACCCATTCAGTCTTCCCAACCTTCTCCAATTACTGGGCCCAGAAGACGCTGCTCTTTACTGGACATTGGGCTTCTTCTGTGAACATCTAAATGTCATGCTTTGGTATCCCAGAATACGGTGACACCCACAAATCATGCTAAAATACCATACCGAGGAGATTAACATTGCCTGACGAAATGATAAACTTAGCCGGGATAATCAATTGACACAATCGCTATCACATCCTCCAAAGGTTTTACAAACACATCACAGTAAAACACTGAGTAAGGCTGGTGTAAAATGGAGCCCCACTGAGACGTCTAGCTATCCGTCTGTCGGTCTGGCGGCACCGCCATCGGGAGCAGCAGCCCTTCCCGGATCGTGAGGAGATAGCCCGAACTTTCCAAGAATGGTCGCCGCTGTCAAAGCAGACCGGCCCATCGCGTTCAATGAAGCTTGCAGTAGCTCTCGGCATATGAGCTACACAAGATATCATATAGAACACCTACCGATTATAATGATTCGAATGCACGAGTGTCGAGTACCTACTCGCTGCACTCAGCTTGATGAAGAAAGGGCCTTTCCTGTCTTATGCCGTTGGATAGCATGCATAAATATTGCATAATCAGACACCGGCTTTGGCAAGAGTGAATCATTTCCTGACTTTAGGATGCGTCCCGATACAATACTTATTTACGAAAATGTTACAAAACCACTCGTACACATTCAGATACTTTCAGATTCAGATACTTGTAGTTTCGCAGCAAAACTTCAAGGCAATGGTTCCGAGTCTTGCTAGCCGCACTTGGCATGGGACGGAGCGCTGTTGGGATAGCGCGTCGCTCGCTTTGGCCGCTCGTGCTTTGTCCGTCCGGGTGCTGTGTGTCAATGCTGGCTGTTTGCTCCCTAATGCCAGCCGCTTCGTCGGCCCCGCCGTCGATATCGGAAGTGCGCCGCTCCTCCTTCGACCCGGATCACGTGACACCCCATGGCGCAGATGGAAAAGGTCATGTGATGCCCCGTTGTCATGGCACGCTATGGCGCTGTTAAAGGAGTGGTGTGAGTTCCTCCATCGGATGTGGACGACATCCATCCAGGTGACGCGGTTACCTTTGATCTTTGTATTATGCAATCATGTAAACATTCACTACGTAGAGGCCATCGAACTGGATATATAATTATATCTAAGCATCTGTTCAGCTGAGCAACTACCACGATTTCTTTCAGTAATAGACAGAGACACCAAATGTGTTTCTGGTCCTAATTAATCAAAAGGCACCGTTGTTATTTAGCTAGTGCCTACACATATACCTAGGTAGGATTTAAATAAGCTATATACATGATGGACAATCATCAGTAGAAATCAGCTGTATTTACATGTAATACTGAAAAGAAATATGCAGTGCGCCGTGCAGTGTGCACTCCAGTCACTTTGGTAGGTAATAGATATATCCTGTAAATACCTCCCAGTATTTTTGCGACCTCTTTTGGCAGCTTTTCTAACATAGACGATTTCCATCCTTTATTGGCTCCCCTTGTCCCTCTTTGCCGACGTTGTGCTGTGCTGTGCTGTGCTATTAACGATGTGCTCTGTCCTGTGCAGAGACTCATTGGCAATCAATGATCAAATACCGTCACCACTGTCATCGTCCTTACTGCCTCCACTAACCTACCCTTACCTTACCTCCTATCCCTACCTAATCACCTGTACCTCCTATCCCTACCTAATCACCTATATCTCCTACCCCTACCCTACCTCCTACCTCTAGATTCTACCCCTCCGCCATATACTAGTTGCCACTCCCATCGACTGAAATTTGGGACTGAAATCGACCGCTGTTGTCGCTTCCAGCCGTTCTTACGACTCCTTAACATCCGTCTTTACCGTCATCGCCACCGCCGCCGTCTCCCCTTCTGTTCGCCCCTGCTACGAGCAAATACTCGGACCTCTATCACCTCCTTCTCTTTACCGTCTGCCTTTATCCCCGCCTTTGTGCCACTACTGCTTCCTCTCCACCTTTAGCCACACCGCCCGCCGCCGCCTTGCGACCCGCCCTCCTGCCGGGGCGCCTCAGTTGCCGCCACCCGCCGTGCCGAGGCCCTGCCATCGCCGCCGCCGCCGCCGCCGCCGCCGCCGCTGCCTGTCGCCGTCAGGCCCGGCACGCGTGGCCCGGTGCTGGCATGTCACGCGGCGGCCCACCGAGGTCGTCGCATCGAACGGCGTCGGCCGACGGCGGTCCGCACCGCACATATACCTACACACTGGACCGCATACACTGGCGGGCACACGCCCGGCACTCATGCAGACGCCCGCGTGGGCACACACAGCGGCAAATAAGCCGCTCCACATGCCTATAATTCATATGTTTTTTCTTTGTTTCATTGATGCGTGGCTATCGGAACCGCAGGAAAAAAAATATACGATCAGCAATTGTTTATTTCTAGCGCCTCACCCTAGAAATACATGCAGTGGCTAGTTAGCTGGTAGCTGGTAGGTAGCTGCGATGGACTGATCAACACTCTCGGTGTAACTGCTTCCGTCATCCCGATGCTTATGGACTTACGGTAATATGGTATGG